CTCTCTTCTCTCTCTCTCTCTCTCTCTCTCTCTCTCTCTCTCTCTCTCTCTTTCTCTCTCTTTTCTCCCCGTATACAAATCGTTAAAACCGCGCCGATCGATCGGGTTAGACGAACGGAAAACGAGGAGGAGGCCAACGAGCAGAATGAAAATTTCAACGAATTAGTATTAAAAGGAACGATACGAACCGTACTGCTTAACCGTATATACGCCACTGAACAAATTCCCGTATATTAACTGCCACTCGTGGTGATTCGAGTTGCCAGATCTCTCGTGGAAAATCAACCGACCTGAGAGGAATTGGCATGTATCTAGCGATTCCCAAAATTGTCCATATGTCGTGTATATACGGCACGAGATGGTCGAGTTTCAATCGGATACCGTTTAAATCGTCGAATATCGTCAGGGGTCGGTCGTAATTTAAGATTAATCGCGCGGTCACGGAACGGGGTAAAATGTCATTGTTAATATTAGGTAGGGGTGAAGCGGGGAGAGCGTATCGATTGCGAACGATATGCGGAGTGAACCGCATCGCGGTTGATTCTGCACGCATAGATATACGTATATATACACAGAGAGGAGAGGGGGGGGGGAGGGGACGAGAGTAGAGCAATTAATAGGAAACGTTTCGAAAATGAACGCGTCCATGGATCCGGGGGTATCGGGTGATCTAAATCGAACCGGTTGATTGGAGGTAGTTGCGGCCAAAGTTTTCGGGGTCAAGCGCCCTTCATGTCGAATTCGGAATCGAAATGAAAATCCGCAAGTCCGACGGTCAAAATGGAGTTTCGGCCCCGTCACGCTCTATAATCGGACCGCCCCCCTCTCACACGGAATTTCGAATCGGGGGATCGTGCGCTTATTGTTCGCTTCGATCGGCTCGCGCGACGTGGAAACGACTTTTCGAGTGATCGCGTCGACGATTCTCTCGTTTCGATACGTGTGCTCTACGTATTTTCAACGGTATATAATTAAGGGTGTTTATTTGTTGGGTAATTATTTTTCTCGTTGACTTAGAGCAGCGATCTTTGTTGCATCGTTCATTGTCGGCTCGTTAAGTTCATCGATATCGATGATATGTTTATCGACACGAAACAAGGCGTTGCGTCGAAACAGAGAGAGGAATACGCGTGGAAACAAATAGACGCGAGTATAGCAATCTCACTAATCACGTCCCATATGGCGGGTTTTCGTAACACCACCTTCGAAGAAGCTTCTTCTCGATCTCGATCCCTTGTAACTACTTTCACCCCTGTGCCCTTTGTCCGCCGTTGTCGGCCGTTGCTCTTACATGTCTTACTAGCCCATTTGTTCCCATTCTCTTTCGTCCATTTCTGCCCATTTGTCTGTCTCGCTCGTCTGTCTTTCTTCGCCATGCTATCTTTCTCACTCTCTTTCACGTTGTATCATTCCGTCTTTCTCTCTTTCTTCTCTGATCCCCCTCTCTTTCTTCTTCTTCTTCTTTCTTTCTTTCTTTCTTTTTTTTTCTTTTTTTTTCTTGGTTCAGAAGCGTTTTCCGCGAAAGAAACACTTCTCGAGAAGTAAAAATTTCGAGATAAAAGTTTGCGAAACTTCTTCTTCTCCCGCACTTTGTCGTTCCTCCCTTACCCTTGAGCTCGTGATGCCACCCCCTTTTGTGTTAAGCATGGCACGAAAATAGCGAAGCAGTAACATATAACGCCAATAGAGGCGGACAAACTGCGACAGGTGTCCCATGCACGTCGACGACCGGGCGTAAATTAGCGACCAGCGGCAAAGAGACGTGGCCAATGTGCTACTGGAAGGGAAGGGAGGGAGCACGTGTAACGATTTCGCAATACCACGCCTCCCGTCGTCGAATTAACCTCTTAAGAATTTCGACATTTCCGTACAATATAATGCAATAAACACACACGTTTACATCGTTTCTCTCTTCGAAATGGATCGATCCGCAGAAGAACAATTCACGCGAACGCGCAGAAAGAGAACTCATAAATAATGCATAATGTTTTTCGGACATTGGCTCATCCCTCAAACCCTCCCAACTTAGGTCTTCCTTTTCTCTCTTCTCCGAGAAAAGAGAGAAAGCCCAAACGTATTTTCACCTTCCTCCCGCAGGAGACACACTTTCCAAAATCCCTTTCGAATTTAACGCGTTCGAATAACTTCCTCGAAACCGAAGGAAGGAAGCGGGATGGTCGTGCAACAACACCTTCTCCCCACCCTCCTCTCTGCTTTCTCTCCTATTTTAGCATATGGTTCACGAGGCATGGCGGTAGAAGGGGGGAAAAAAAGAATAGAAAAGAAAAGAAAAGAAACGAGAAAGGTACGCGGATAACAGCCACCGATGATTGATCGCTGCGAACGAAAACCCAACCCGCCTTAAAGCCGTCCGTACATTCCCAATGTCCGAAAAACATTCGAGGCAACCCTCTCGCACGGACGCGGATATAAGAGAGGGTGATTCCGCGTGGAAACGAATTTCCTCTCCTGTCGAAGAGAGGATATTTTTCGGTAGGTAGATCGAAACATCGAGCCGCGTCGAGATTTGCATTCGAGAAAAATTCTCGGTTAGACTCGGTGTTTAGAAGGAATAGCTCTCCCTCTCTCTCTTTCTCTCTCTCTCTCTCTCTTTCTGCGAGAAGGAGGAGATTGAGGGAGCTGTGTGTTAGTGATTTCACGTGAAATCGGTCGCGACGGTACTCGCCCCGTTTGCTCGTCGAGTCGATCCATCAAGAGAGATTAAAAGATTTCCACATCCCTGGGCTAGTTCTTTGTTTCAAGGAGATATTTAAACGTGTGACATGGATATCGAACGGCG